TGAAACAAATTGATGTGCATATGTATAATGTCATATATGATGTATGTGTGAAGTTTGATTGTGATTGGTTCAGGCATTTCTAAGATACTGGTCCGGACGCACGCACGGAAGCACGGACGCACGGAGGTGACTGGTGAAAACGCAAGTCCCTGTTTTCGGACTGCGTCCGAACGAGGACTAATAAATTGAATATAAATATATAGAACTGCAAGGATTCAATAAACAAGATATAAATGCGTGGCCGAAACTTCATACATTCGAGATATACGTAACAACTTCTACCCCCCCCCCCCTCAGTAAACATTGAATAATACGAGTAGTTTCCATCGTTTCCTGGTGATATAGACGCCATATATTATCAGCAAAAAAATAGATTTTGTACGAATTACGGAAGAATAAAATTCCTCATTACATTTTACACCTGTGCCCATGTCCGCGAAATTACTATACCACAATACCACAAAATAAACTGAAAGAAATTGCAATATAATATATTCCATCAAAGACACTTCACGGTATTTTGCGGTCAGTTTTATTCACTCTGGTGTTGAAAAAGGCAAGGATAATTAAAAATGACGACAAAGGTGAAAAACGTTTTTATGCTAATTACTATTTCACTACGAGCGACTAAATTGATATTGATAAGACTCCAGGGACGGCAGTGATGAACCCCAAAATGCCATTTAAGGCAAACGAACACGTGGAGCACACAAATCTGTTTCAAATTTTAGCACAAAACACAAATTAACCATTGTTTACCCATGAGTGAATGGTGAAAACCGTGTTTATGTGCTATGTTTATAAAGTCAACAGTGGGTTAAGCTTGTACACACATGTTTGCAAATTACCGATCAACTGTATACAATCATAATGGGTTGGTAATTCAATTATAATCCTCTGCAATAACAACAAATTTTACATTTATCACATGATACAATACAATTGTTTAAACAAGATGTTTTAATTATGTATTTTATTTGTAAACAACCTGACCAATGAATGAGGTGCACCCATTGTCATTCATTGATTCACACTGGTGAGCTCAAATTTTAACTACATTACTCATGTTGTGCATTCATAAGCACCATCATAAAACATTAGTTACTGAAACACGTCTTGTCACACAACATTATTAGTGTAGCTGCAATAGACAGCTTGCAAAGACAAATGGAGAAATTACTTGTAATAAAGTTATATTTACATTATATATTTACAGTTCATGTTAACACCTTGCAAAAAATATAGCAAGTAATTTGCATAAAAAAAACCTTTCCACCACACCTTAGTAAGATTCTATTTTAAAAGGAATATAATACATTAGCAAGTGCTTAATAACTTCATTTCAAATTAACATATACATATGTACTGACCAAGTCATGTATGTAGATACTGTATAAACGTTGGAGTCATGTTTGATATACATGGTTTGAAGATATACTGTTTTTTTCAAAAGAACTTATTAACCTTTTAATCTATATATTACTCACTAACACATATTTTTCTCAAATGAAATTAAAATCAAATACAAAATAAAAATACATTTAAAATTGCTCAAAAATAACAATGCAGACTCTTAATTAGCACATCTTCTCATAATAACGAATACAAAAATGACTAATAACAAATTACTTAAAACCAGATCTGAAAAGAACCGTATTTTTTTTTTAAATGTACACACATATTTCATGTTAGTATTTACATACTGACTTGATGTTGGAACCAACATATACATAATCGTATATTGTCATGTACAGAGATACTGACATGCTGCAGAAATGTTAAGATGGTACATGTCAACTTCATGTTGGAGTCTTGTTGATATATCCACTGTTAGAATATATACTGTCGTTTTTTTTCAAAAGAATATACCAATCTTTACATTTATCTATTGCACAATAATTTTCTTCAAATGAAATGGAATGTGCACTGAAAATCATATAAAAAATTAAAACTGTTTTAAATTGATTTAACATAAAAATACCGTCTTTTAAATTATTCCATCCCAACTATATTCAAGAAATACACCCAAAAGAGAGACAGCATGCACCTTATATTGTGAAACACGAAATAAACAAATGCAGCCCACTGGCATTTTGAAATACGAAAAACAAACCTAATAAATGCAATCAAAGGTGCCAAACAAGCACATTAGAAA